TTTCATGGAGTGGATAGCGCTACTGATGGGCGCCTTGGTGCAGTCTGCTACGGTTTGCTGTACCTGAAAACACGCACCCGGTGAGGGTAGATAGAATCTCAGTGTTGAAAACACGTCCATGCATGCAAACACACATGAATACAATCATATTTTACACGACAACAAACCGTTGGGAAAACCTATCGTGAAGAAAAGGCTATGGAGTAGAAGCACACGTGGTAACACTACAGTGTAGGTTTGTTTCATGTTACCAAGCGAGTGACACCTGCAGTGAGGGGTTAAGCAACTGTGTGACTGTGTTGCATCACACCTGCTATCACCAGGCACAGGGAAGGAGGAGGGGGTAGGAAGGAGGAGGGGTAGGGGTAGGGGGTAGCAAGGAGGAAGGGGGTAGGAAGGAGGAGGGGTAGGGGTAGGGGGTAGCAAGGAGGAAGGGGGTAGGAAGGAGGAGGGGTAGGGGTAGGGGGTAGCAAGGAGGAAGGGGGTAGGAAGCAGGAGGGGTAGGAAGGAGGGGGTAGGAAGGAGGGGGTAGGAAGGATGAGTGGGTTAGAAAGGAGGATGGGTAGCAAGGAGGAGGGGTAGGAAGGAGGAGGGTTAGGGGTAGGGGTAGGAAGGAGGAGGGGGTAGCAAGGAGGAGGGGGTAGCAAGGAGGAGGGGTAGGGGGTAGGGGGATATGGGGTTAGGGGTAAAGGGTAAGGGTGTGGGGGGGGGGGGGTAGGGGTAGGCGGTAGGAGATGAACTACAAATGATGTTACTTGCCTTGGATGACAAGTCCGACAGTGCAGATGAGAAGAGCTCAGTGTTGCGGTTCGCAGCCGCCCTATTTGACCACAACCACACAGTACACGTACAGTGTTCTTATTAAAAGAAAGGGTGTACCGGCATGCACAGCATTCAGTTTTCTTCCACCGCGTTCAGCAATGGACCCTTGTCCAAAGAAAACCAAAGACAAAAGCCGACATAGCAATGCTGTCATGCATGCAATGGCCGTAGGAGCGGAACTTACTGGAGCATTTTGACCCTCAAGTCTGCTGTTTGCTGTCGAACTGTCGCGATTTTCTCTACAGAAGATACGGAAATATGCACAACCAGCACGCCAGAAAAAAACCGTACCATGTTGACAACAAAACTGTTGTAGCTACAACCAGCATACACTATAGACACAAAGTCACTGCGTCATCCTACTGCAGTAACGTTAGGGTAGGTACCACTACTGTTATGATTCACTTGCTGCAGTACTAGTTTTGATGAACTGGGGGTGACAGGACATCACACTGTATCACAAAAAGGCATTGAGGCTCTACCAACTGTAGTGAAAGCTAAGCAAGGCACTCACATGCTTGACATACCAATGCACGGTATAATGATACGAGCAGTAACAAGCCATACTCGGTACACATGTTCATTGTGCATTTCTAGTTCTTCCGCCTTAGAAAAAGAGGAATGTATCAGCTACATTATATTGAAGTCAGTGTGCAGAACCGGCTTACTGAGAACGACACGACATGTGCTGGTAGGACTGTCCGTCTCACTGACAAAACTTGCACAACTGAAATCAGACAATAGAGACACAGCAGTGAATACTAGTGATACAGCCAGACCTGCACAGTGAGTTCCGACACTGTCACATGCAGCTAGGCGATCTACACAGTTCCATTACAGCCTTCATGCATCCGGGGGGGGGGGGGGGGGGTCACACTTCTGAGCTACCACAACTCATTCTCAGTGTACAGTACACATACATATAGGAATTACAGTTCCAAAGGAGAAGTAGTAATTAACCAGTTTGAGAAGTAGGCAATTGCAGGTAATGCTACTCTGGACTTGAAGTCACGGCACGCACTGTAACCCAGCTGGGGAACAGACAACTCTACTGGAGGAATGACACTGACTCTTCCAGAATTCTTGCATGTAGTTATAATACACTGGAAAAGTAGCACAATTCAGCCGACAAATGTGGCAGCCCAGTCTAGTTCTTCACTTCAATAGCGCGTATACTTGCACATGTAAACTGGTAATAAGAACAAAGCGGAGGGAGGAGGGAAGGGAGGGGGGGGGGGGGGGGCGATAACAATTCTAGCACTAAGCGGTGTCATGGTACTATCCAATATCGCACAGTGCATCAGCACTGAGGTGGAGAAACAACAATGCATGTGTGAGCAATGCAGACACAAGTCATCAACATGATGTACAAGGGTGGCGTGGACATTGGCACCAGATCATGGAGATAAAGGATTCGTCAAACCTCAACTGGCTATGTCAATCCTAAGAACTGTGCAACACTTGGCAGGACATTGGTAGTAACCAGGACTAGGGGACTATTTCTGCAAAGATAGACAGCTGTACACAGTTGACAACAGCAGTACCCTGGCAGCAAGCATTTCTTGGTGATGATTTCACACACGGAAGAAAGTGTGAGTATATGGGTACCAGGGATGAGTGATGCAGTCCATGGTATTAACAATAGAGCTTGGAAAGTGCAGTGTCACAGCCAGGCTGCAGTCATGACAATACTGAATTTTTGATCTACTCGGATCCAGTTGTGTATGACTCCAGATCCGTTTGGATGGTTTCCCTTCATAGTTGGGGACACATCCACCGGTATAGTGACTGGATTGGCCCTCGTGGTGGGGACCCACTCATGTTACAGACACAATAGCACCGGCATGCAACATGAGAGGCTTACCCACCACTCTACTCTACTATGTTATGGTTAGAACAGGCCCAATTATTGGACCTAGAAGTTGTTATATGTTGACTTCTGACGTCATCTCCCCCAGACCCTGTACTACAGTAAAACCTGTGATTAACGACCACCCCTTGGGGCCAAAGAAAGCGGTCTTTAGTGACGGGTGGTCCTTAGTTAGAGGTTTGCAGCGCACAACCATAATTATATGAATGTGAGATTGTCCGTGCCTGGCAAAGTGGTCTGTAGTACCAGGCTGGTCGCTAGTCACGGTGGTCTTTAGTTACAGGTTTTACTGTAGTACCAGGCTGGTCGCTAGTCACGGTGGTCTTTAGGCCAAGTAAAGCAATTGATTGTTTATCGTCCGCGCCCGCCCCAAATTTTCACCCTCCCCGCCGAATTATTTTATTTTTTAATACTGGTAAATGTACTGTATGTACTGCGGTCTACAGCCTCTAATCAGCATGGCCGTAGATTTTCGAAGGTCAAGTCCACAGACTGAACCATAACTTAGTTGCTATGGGCTTGAAAAGTGAAACTGATCATAAGTTGCCTGATTTTCTTCGTTTTTTCTACGTAACGTTGGTTGTTCCACTTTCTATTATCCTCTGGGGTTGCGAACACCTGCCCTACAGCCATAAATGCATAATAAAAAATAAAATTAAAAACCTCCCGTCCGCCCTGATTTCTCGGGAAAATCTGACGATAAACAATCAATGTATTTTACATGGCCTTAGTTACAGGTTTTACTGTAGTACCAAGCTGGTCGCTAGTCACGGTGGTCTTTAGTTACAGGTTTTACTGTGGTACCAGGCTGGTCGCTAGTCACGGTGGTCTTTAGTTACAGGTTTTACTGTAGTATCCTTTAACCCAAACTCCCATTGGTATATACTGGTTAGCTATGGCAGTAGACAATGTGACCATACCATGCATGTTCGGAAAGGATTCGATGCAGTCCGCCTTGCTTGAAGCCACGCGAGTGACAGGCAAATGCACCCACAGTTGTCACATTCCGCGTTGTTGCTGTAAAGAAAACAACAACAAAAAGACAGGAAACCTAGCATGGCAAAGGAGGAATGAACTTAAGCAGGTCATCAACATGCAATTCATTTCATTGGAATTGAACAAAGTGACAGAAGGATGAAAGAAGAGATAGGCCTGTAGTTGGTACGGATACGGCCGTGCCTTAAAGTTATCAGAAAAGTTGACCTGCCCCGCAATTCATAGCGCAAACCTGGTATCCTTTCCAACGCCACCCCGCTACAGAGGGCATAACTCGCACATTATGTTTAAGTTAGTGCACAGACAAATCATTATCGCCACATGCATGCATTCCAATGCAGGCTGCCATAGTACGCACATTGCTGTGGAAGGCCAAGTCCAGTACGGGCATGTAATATTATAAGGGTAAACCAAGTAGAATGCTGCCCAACAAGGGATCAACGCCCGTGTAAGGCAAAGTGTTCCACACAGTCAGTTGATAGGGAGAAAGTATCCTCATGCTGAGCCTGCCTCCCCTTTCGTAACTCCCATTATCCTGCACATAGTTCAGTGACATGCAGGGAGATTACAGCTCAGTGTATGTACCTTGGCCAGCGGAGTCCAACACTTTGATTCTCTGCACATGTAGATTCACCGGTACATACTCCATGCCGTGAGACCTAGCCTTCTTGTGAATGCTGGATTTGAAATGACAATCTGCAAGGGTATGGACATAAGTACACGGAGAACGGGTTTTGGCAACCAAACAATGTTATAGGGTGTTTCATGTCCGTTTAACTTGAGAGAGAGAGAGAGAGAGAGAGAGAGAGAGAGAGAGAGAGAGAGAGAGAGAGAGAGAGAGAGAGAGAGAGAGCAGCCGCAAATCAGCAGCAGCAACAGCAGCAGAAGCGGCATTGGGACCTATACAGTTAGATGTATGTAAATCAGAAACCTACAAGCTGCAGCCTTTCCAACACATTACAACTACTACAGAATCAACTTGAGTAGACTGCCATCAGCACCCTGCAGGCAGCAATGATTGCCATCAACAAGTGACTAGCTGCATACCGGAATTAGCCTGCAGGCAGCAATGATTGCCATCAACAAGTGACTAGCTGCATACCGGAATTAGCCTGCAGGCAGCAATTGCCATCAACAAGTGACTAGCTGCATACCGGAATTAGCCTGCAGCCCATTGACTGCATGTTGCCGTTCTCCAATACACTTGAAGATGTTGCCAAGCAGTTGCTGCGTTGTGTCTTGCCAGTGTAAGGAGAGCTAGGGCAACAATACACGGCGAACACAGTGACAGTACATGATACATACTGAACTCTGCTGGTGACAGCAAACAGAGGCAGACGGCTCGAGGGGAGCTAGCACAAGTAACATGTTGAGCCAACGACACCGCATACTCGGCAATCTGGTTTCTGTTCTTCCAGTTGCATTCCAAGAGATATACTCTTCATTCACACAGTCATACGGTATATAGTGATCAATCCAGTATGCAGCACATACATGTAGCCAGCTAGGGAGGTAGTGGAGTACATTTACAGTATTTAAAAAACTACTCACCTCTCCCAGAGCATAGATCTCATCAATACGACACTTGTCTTCTGCCGACACCATTTCTCTGTGAGTAAAGAATAGAGTAGCAGATAGATAACCACACCATTTCACTTCAAGTATAGGATAGACTGGAGTAGTAGAGGGCACACCATTTCCCTGAGTATAGGATAGAGTCCATGGCCAGCAATCGAGGACATCTGAGAGTTGTAATTTTTGTACTCCTCCGAGGTGTGATTTTTGGCGTGCTGGGCCAAGCACAGGGAAGCCATCTGCAAAACAACTGCAGAAAATGGTTGTTGTTTGATCCTTTGGTGTAATCTTTGTTTCTAGTCGAAGCTAGTTGCTGTTTGGAGCAGAAACGCTGAAATTGACTATTTTCTGCATGTACTCATACATGTACTCATGTACTCAGGCATGCAGTCTCACTCGTATTTTAGCTCTTTTCCTGGAATGGATGCTGCTCTGCGCCCCTTGGTGAACCTTTCCTGCGCTCGTGGAGCAGCTGAAAAGGACCACTGGTATGTCTGGTTCCTGGTTTGAAAGTGGAGAGTCGACTTTTGTGCCTTGAAAAAGGAGTAGAGAGCGATAAAGGTACGTCTGTGGCTTATTTTTGAGTGCTCCTCGTACATTTTTGATCGTGATAGAAATTCTCAGACCAAAGTCAGACCAAAGTCAGCGCGATGATGGCCGTACAGTTTTCTTGTGGATTTTTTAGTTGTTTCATCTCGTATCTATGTCAGTATCGTGATGGTGAAGTGGAGAGGGTGATTTTCTTCCTCTAGGCTTCGTTCGGCCGACTTTGCTTCGTCCTCGTTGAAAAGTGATCCTGAAAAAAAGGTCGATTCGCAAAATTATGTTGATTTTCAATGTACGTGGTGACATGCGATTGCTGGCTATGCTTCACTAGTTTGAGGGAAAGACACAAACGGGAAAAGTCTGAAGAAAACATTGACTGTCACCACCAGGACTCGAACCAGGGACCTTTGCTTGTAGCTAGCGATGCTCTAACCACTGAGCTATGGTGTAGTCGTCGAACAGAGTACGAGTAGATAGTACATCACACCATAACTATGTGCATAACTATGCACATAGTTATGCACATAGTTATGTGCATAACTATGTGCATAGTTATGTACATAACTATGTGCAGGCAGGCATAGTGGGATGGTCTAAGACCATGATTGAGAAACAGAGGGTGCCAGGTTCAAGTCCTGCTTGGAAGCGGAAGGATTTTTTCTAGCCGTGCTGCGACCCACAGTTAATTGGGAACTCGTGGCCTGGCACGAGGAAAACATGGATGCAGTGAATGGGATTTTCGGTCTTTGACCACTTGCTGGTGAGCTGATCTACTCACCTCCCACCGCTTTAGGAGCTGCATCTGCGCCTTGATCCTTAAAGGGTGGTGGCGTTCCTACGGATGCGGAAAACCCGGCTTCCAGCCGAGTCTCACGCGAACCGTGAAATTTTTTTTAATTTTTTTATGTGCATAACTATGTACATAACTATGTACATAGTTACCAGCACTGTAGTACAGTGTACAGTAATACTGTATCACTAAGCAACAGCCTGAATCATGTACTAGTGCAGTATCCCCCTTACCAAGGATTATGTGATATCACATTGAATGCTTAGTGTGCATATTGATACCTGCTATCACCTGTGTGTGTAGAGGGGGGGGGGGGGAGGAGATAGGGTAAGATCGGGATGTGACTTGTGAGGTAAGGGAGGTCAGGTGGTGGTGGGATATGGGACGATTGTGACTGTGTGGGGTGTGACTGTGCGGGGTGTGGGGCCGGGGGGGGGGGGGGGGGGTAGCGGTTGAGTGTGAGGAAGGGGATGTAAGGTATGGGAGTGTGTGTGCAGTGTGGGATGTCAGCTGAAGGATGTGAGGGAAAAGAACGGTGCAATGCCGTACTGCCGTGAAACGTGACCCCGCATTTTAGTAATTGGTACATTGCATCAGCCAGTGGTTGTTGTGTCTACATCACTTACAGGTAACTAATAGGAACTGTGCGTGCAAAGGCACATTCTCCCATCTCCTCTGCTACGCGAATGTGCTCACCGGATCTAGAATGTGTGCAGACAGCAGCCAGTATGCACAATCATACTATTCAAGTAGGCACACTGGCAATCACATAGCAGCAATGCATAGCACTGTACCTGTGCGCAGATACAGTGCACACAGGTAAAACTGCTGAACTTCAAAAACTTCGCTGGGTTCAAGAACACACAGGTTGCAACAGGTCCCCTAACATTCCAATTTTCCATGCAGTGCATCATTCACTACTTGTTCTTGTCTCTACAGCTATCAGCTACCAAGTTACCTACTCTGATCCAGCCTGATACTGAGTATTCCGTGGTGTGCAATCTAATTCTGACGGTACAATCATTTCGGCTTCCACAGTAAGTATCTATTGTAAGGCAGATATCATCACCTTTGCTTTGCATCCTGATACCTATCAAGCATTTCCAAGAAATACACTAAAGCGGAATACCGAGAAGCTCGGCCAGATTCTACCGAGGAATAGGTTCCTCCGCCGGCAGAGTGACACACACACACACAGCCACAGCCACATGTACATGTACACAAACACACATACACATGCGCACACGCATGCATGCACACACATGCACAAACATTTACAGGAGGTTATACTTACTTTGATGGGAACATGAATCGACATTGGAATAACTTTGACAGATGAGGTCTGTAGAACACAGAAGGGCACAACTGAGGTGACGTATAGATCCAATGTGTTTGTAACATATCCACTCCAATGTGTTTGTAACATATCCACTCCACACACTACATTCTAAGCTGCGACGCATGAACCTCAGGCCCACTACAGGCATATAGATATATGTACATACATGTACTTGCGGTTCCACTCAATGCTGCATGGAGTCAACTGTTTTGGCCAATCAGGCACCTTAAGTGCAGCTAGGAGGTAAATAGAACTGAACTGTCTGCAGTTTCATTCAGGTTTCGGAACTTACACAGGGTAAGCAACAGCTAGGTGACTGTGCCCTTGGCAATGAACAATAACAGTGAAAATCGGCTGCATGGACCTTGCACAACAAGCAATGCTCTACTCTATTCAGAGAGGGGGAGGAGGCTCTGTCTACGACTATACCTCAGCCAGCTACCAACGCAGATAGCCAGCCTAACGGTACCTCAAGTTCTTAAAAGTACACGCATTCTGCATGTCATCACTTACTTTAACTTTCCTTTCATCGCTCGCATTGAAACTTGAGAGCTACGCTGCCTCTGCAACATGCATGGGGGAGCAGCAAAAAAGCCGGATACGTGTTCGTTGAAAGAGAATGCATGGAAGATGGAACATGGAGTCACAGTGCTAACACATACTTACCAAACACATCCTCTTGGTTATACATACACTGTCTTGTGTGCTTGTCCCTGCCCTACACTGTCTTTAGAGGTCTCAGTACTACTCAGGCACCAGGCTAGCAATCATTTACTGAAGTACATACAGTCCATTGCTAGAAGGAGTGTGTAGTGTGCAGTGTGCAGTGTGCAGTGTGCAGTGTGCAGTGTGCAGTGTGCAGTGTGCAGTGTGCAGTGTGCAGTGTGTACTATGGTTGTTCTGGTGATTGCACTGTGTGTAATGTCCCCTGCTATGACTGCAGTCGAGTCAATGAACTCTTTGAACACTGGGTACTGTCCTGTATTAGTGACCTGGGCAACATGGTGGCCAGTTGGAACATAGTAGACCCAGGTGCTCGAAGTCCGTACACTTTTACAGTGTGTGTTTGCCGAGCTGAAACTCACACTACAATGATCACTTGCCAGAATCCTGTTCGTGGATGGAAGGTATCTTGTCCAAGTTTGTTCTGAGGCCAGGCTCGATTGAACCAGGCCATCTTTCGATCCGATCTGTTTCTCTGGAGTTCGCTGATTTTTCATATCAAATTTTTGTGTCGCAGAGGGTACTCTAAGTCCGTACTGATCAGAGGTGACTCGAAATACACACATATTTCTGCTAATTGCTAACTTGCAATCCCTCGGTTACGACGAAAGCACCGAAGGGATATGTTTGGCATGTGCCTCCACCAGTATTTCTTGCAAAAGCGTAGTTTGTTGCCGAAATGCAAGCTGTTTTTAGTCGGCTCAGAGAAGAAGCAGCTGCGCTGTGAAAACCGCGGGAAAACAGTGGTGGAGATGCCAGGAGTGTCAACCTTTCTGCAAAGATTGGTGGTTCTCTGTAAATTCTTCTCCTCTGGCCATTGTCAGCTCTAAGCTGGCTCTTGATGATTGAGTGAAGGTCTGTTTGACGCTGTGTCCGTTCGAAATCGGTCTTGGCCAAGTTGATTTTTGCATGAAATGTAACCCAATTTGTACTTCGTATGGACACTCGAAAACCCACTCGCGTGGTATGGGACTTCTGCTCATCGTAGATCCCTGAAAATTGCTACGCGAGGAGAACATACCACACTGTCCCCTCCATAAAATATTTGAGTCGAATACAATAACAGAACATGAAATTATGGGCGTACGAACTTAGGATACCATGTACGGACTTCGAGCACCTGGGTCTACTATCAATCTGCAAGGAAAGCCATCATTTTGCACCATCAAAATTAAAAATCGTAAATGTAAGTACATCAAAGCATGACGGCAAATCCGATGAGAACCCTTCCCTTCAGAGGTTAGCACCACAACTAACTACTTACAACGGACGGCTCTCTTCGTGTCACAACTGATGCCCGGCGGTCGTCTTCATCCGCCTGCAGGATACTTGCTTTGACAAGCGCCTGCTGTCCACCAGCAGGCACTATGTCACCAAGACTTCCATTCCTGACAAGAAACAAATGGCACAAGAGAAGCAGATTGTGCAGGTATGCCATGCTTATCACACTAGGCACAAAACTGACGGAGGGTGCTGGGACATTCAACGACCTGATGCCTAGCTCCAACATGTCTCCTAAGCCCAAACCAACAGCCGTCCACTTTGAACTTGAACGGGTCAGGTTACGAAAGGTCAAATGAGGGGAAGGAAAGCTCTGCGATGATGAACACAAGTTACGCCCACAGCAACAAATAAATCACTGCTAGAGGTGGTAGGTATCACAGTTCATGGAGTCAACAATGGCCAAACGTTCTAAAAAGAACTTAGAAAAGAGAAAAAATTATCGGAAAATCAGACTGATTTTCAGCTGGAAACAGGGACGAATTCATCATGTCGACTGCCAAAAATAATATTGATTGTGTATTGGTTTTGTTGTGATTACGGATTACTAACTGGTCGTTTCAAGTCGAGATACGAGCAACTTATCCAACAGAACTAAGTGAGATACTGAAGTGTGTACGTTTAGGCTGGTAGCTGGGATAGCGAGGTGATGGGTTGTCACTTACTGGAGTTGCAGTCGAACTTGCTGATCCACATCCTTCACGATGGAGTCGAATGCACAGTCTGCATGACCCAAGTGAGTGATGATGAGCTACAGAGATAGAGAAAGACAGCGGGAAGGGAAGGGAGTGTTTTACGTGTATGGTGTGTCCGTGTTGTGTGTGTGTGTGTGGCCAAGCTAGTTCGGTGGGTACACTTATGCCAGATAGTGTTGGGTCTGTTGCCAACGGGCTCGACTGCTTGAAGGTGTATTGTTGTACCTGCCACCTTTGTTGGTTCCAGGGTTCATATACTTTCTGTTTGAAGTATACATACCGGTTAATCATGGACTGCTTCTGGCTATATTGACTCTTGTGTAATCATGGGTGCTAGTGAATCTTATCTTAGATCCACTCTGATTTAGCCACCCACACTAGTAGCAAGTATTACCTTCACTGGGGGCAGGGGTAACTGCAGCTGGATCCCTGGGCGGATACCCTGATGCCGTCAATCCTTTTTCTGCACCTTGTCCTCACCCACTTACTGAGGTGCGAAGAGCCCATAAGTGGGATCATTTCCAAGTCCACCCATAGTTTGGGAATTTCAGGGGGTGATGTCCGTTTTGGTGGTTCAATAGCCTATTGAGTCCTCTTTTCGAGATTCCTTTTGAGTCTCTCTCCCCTCTCCCGGGGAGACCCACATGACCAGTTTTGGCAGTGAGCAAGTACAAGTACAAGTGTGTATGTGTGTGTGTGTGTGTGTGAGAGAGAGAGAGAGAGAGAGTGAGAGTGAGTGAGAGAGAGAGAGAAAGTGTGTGCACGCGTGCGTGTGTGTTCCGGATCTCGGAAGCCTGTCTGAGGGTTTTGACTGCCTACAGCCGGATCCACCTGGCTGTGGCTAAGAGTATTTCCCACCCAAATCCAATGTACACTGAGTACTGCTCAATGAAATCGGATCAGGCGAGTCAAGTTTGCGCCCTGCACCAGCCGTTCACCATCCCATTGTCTGCAGGTCTAGGGCTTCACAGTGCCCGGCATGGCATTCACTCGCTTGATCGAATTTCATTGAGCAACAGTGCACATTTACCACGGCATAGGCGTACTGTACCAGTGACATTATTATCATGATCATCATCACAAGACAAACCTGATCATCAGAGCTGCCATTCTGTACAGCCAGCACGGAGAGCCGAACATCCAGCGGCAGCCGTGGATCAACGGGAATGGCTATGCACGTGAAGAAGTTCGGACTAGTTGACGTCTGTACAGTGGGGAGGCGAACAACACCAATACTATTGCTCTATTCAAAGAGGTATCCAAGCAGCTTATACCGGGATGCACTAGACCTTAAAATCCTCTAGCAGTGCAGTGGTGTGTGGTGTGTGGTTTATCCAGTCCAACTCTGTCCTATGTTTTATGTGAAACAGAGGCAACTACAGTCCATTCATAAAAAGATGGGCTCTGGCTCTGGCGAGCTCCCGTATTTGGCGGTTTTTCGTGATTTCATCGTACACAGTGCAGTGCTGCGAACTTTGAAATTTGAAAAAGGGTCCAAAAAGGGTGCCTGAACTGGGGTTCGAACCGCAGAATGCACTGTTGCCAGGCGGGGTCAAACGGCCTGGATTTTGATGGTTTTCCCAATTCTGTGCTTTTGGGGCAAAACCTGGCCGAAATCCTATTCTTGCTATGGCTTGCTTTTTGGACAAAAAAACTTCAGAAACATAATTGGAAGAGGATTCCATAGGGGATTGTCAAAAAAATACTAAACTTGAAAACTCAAAGTTTGACCCATTTATGGCCAAAAGCTAGAAGTTCATTTTTTTCTGAATGGACTGTAAAACATTACGGACTGCCTCGTGGCTGGGTCAAGAATTTCTTTTCCACTCCCGTGGGATGCCACCAACCGATGATTAAGTTATACACCATATGCAGCTCATAGCCGACGGGGAGGTATGGGGAAACTGCTCCCATTGACCATCAGTGGTGTTGCCCGAACTAATAATTATTATAGAGGTTTAGTAAGCAGGGAAACAATTACATTACGGGTACATTATGTGTGTCACCGGGGATAGTTCATCAAGAACACTGGAATTCCACATCGATTGGGCCTGACCTGACAGTCCCCTACTTCAGTTGTACTCTTTTCAAACCTCCCTTAATACCATGTGCATGTACTTCCTGTTGCAAGAGAAGGATCCACGAGCGGGATTCAAACCCAGCACCCCTATCTTTCCGGGACAGTGCCCTACTGGTTAGGCCACCGAGGATCACACACACACACCCGTGGCTCCTTCTTGCTACATTCCAACCATCATTGTCATGGCAACTGTGCACAGGTACAACACCTGGTTTAGTTATGGCACATATGTACAGTATTGTACACCCTTATTGCCAGGACTCTCTTGTCTTACCTCTATAACCTCGGTTTCAGCATGTCTCACCCAGTCCGTCGGGTTTGGCGGCGAGCGGCGGAGACTCACTTCAACAAAGCTGTTTGGCGAACTGCCGTGAAGCGAGGGAAGATGGCTGCATGCTTCAAACACAGGAGTTGACAAATAGCATACAGATCATGTGTGAAGACGGGTACCGCTAACCCCTTACACCTTTTACAAAGACGCCCCTACCTCATCCACGGGTCAAACTTCTTGTATTAGAACACATGCAGTGCCGCCTTGTATACGTAGTGATGCCTTGTATACGCAGTGACACCTTGTATACGCAGTGCAGAGTTCCAGTCCACAGAAACTATCCGGAGACAGTATTGGATGCCTAAGCCTTATACAGATTCAGCTACCGCTCCATCTACAGGGCTGCCGGAGCTGCTAGCAACGGTGCTATAGTGCGTTTCAAAAGTCCAGACCTCTGGTTTCAAAAAACCGTTAGGCCAGCATCTATACCACATAAAATCTGTGATCACTTTGTGCATAAAATTTTCAAAATTGGGCGTCTGTTATCCAATGGCTTAGAAATTTACATGAGAAAAATTGCGTGAGCTACCTGAGCAATATTCCGAAGAAATTTCTCAAAAAGCTCAAACCAAATTTGAATTATTCGAAAAAATCTAGAGGTCTATACTTTTGAAACGCACTATAGCAATGGTGCTAGCGGTGGTGCTAGCAATGGTGCTAGCGGTGGTGCTAGCAATGGTGCTAGCGGTGGTGCTAGCAATGGTGCTAGCGGTGGTGCTAGCAATGGTGCTGGCAATGGTAGCGGTGGTGCTAGCAATGGTGCTGGTAATCAACTTGTTTTATTCAAAGCCCCACAATGCTACAACGCCACAACGGTGCTAGCAATGGTGCTAGCAGTGGTGCTAGCGGTGGTGCTAGAGGTGGTGCTAGCGGTGGTGCTAGCGGTGGTGCTAGCGGTGGTGCTAGCGGTGGTGCTAGCGGTGGTGCTAGCGGTGGTGCTAGCGGTGGTGCTAGCAATGGTGCTAGCAATGGTGCTGGTAATGGTGCTAGCAATGGTGCTAGCAATGGTGCTGGTAATGGTGCTAGCAATGGTGCTAGCAATGGTGCTAGCGGTGGTGCTAGCGGTGGTGCTAGCGGTGGTGCTAGCGGTGGTGCTAGCAATGGTGCTAGCAATGGTGCTGGTAATGGTGCTATCGGTGGTGCTAGCGGTGGTGCTAGCAATGGTGCTGGCAATGGTGATAGCAATGGTGCTGGCACTGCTGGGAGAGGCTACAACCCGGTGGAGTTTGTTATGTCATGATGACACAGTGTATAGAAAGTAGCTGGGTGGACACATCCATTCCCAAAGCACTGCAAATGACCGAACCAATTATTCTTTTACGTACAGGAACGCATGTAAAATATTTGGTTCGGTCCTTCGCAGTGCTTTGGGAATGGATGTGGCCACCCAACTGCTTTCTACAGATGAAGCTGCAAGATGCCACAGAGTTAATTCTCACTTTGGTACAGTGTAGGGCAGTAGAACAAGACTGGTACACTAGTATAACAAACATGATTCAATGCCTGAAGCTGAAGCTGGATATCGACAAGGGAATATGCACGCACAGGTACAAGCTTACCAATGCAGATGTCCGCGGTGGGTAGGTTGGTTAGTGTGGATAGCAGCACTGTATTGCCGGAAGCTGTAGATACAGGGGACCGGTATACCAGTGTGTGCACAACTGCATTAGGAACACATCTAACCAAGATCAAGGTGAAGGCTTTGGGCACAGAAGTAGCAATACAATTCACGCAACGTGACTGGGTAGACACGATCAGCGCTCATCCCATACGGGGAGCTGGACAGCATGCATTGAAATGTCATTACACACGTACAGTGGTCCCTCTATAATCCGCCACCATTTGTGCCACGGAAATCTGCTGGATTAGGGAGGGTGCTGGATTAACAAATCGAATTTACTGCTGCAATGTGCATGAAGAGGACATTTTGGCTACTGAAAATTGTGCTGGTTTATCGAGGGTGCTGGTTTATAAAGTGCTGGATTAAAGAGGGACGACTGTACATGATTCCTCCCAATCCCTTGAAGACAGAACTCCCAGACATTCACCTTATCTTGTCATGAAGAGAAGCATTATGTATACCAACACTGACACACACGCACGCACACACCATGCCTTACACTTGGAGGATGACCTGGGCTTGCCGCGGAAAGACGGGACCAGTCGATGGTGTGTCTCGGGTGAGCTGCTTTCATTTTTCTTCTTCTGGTACTCGGAGCGGAGGATTGTTCCAACAGCTCCGGCGCGTTCACCTACGGGATATTTAGCATGGAATAGCAAGATAATAACTCAGAACAGGTGTTACCACCACGTACATACACACACAGACACACACACACACATACACATACACAGACGTGCAGGCGCATACAAGTACGCACTGAACGACTGTAGATTTGTTTCAACTAAATTTCCTTTTGTCGGTTGGCGAGGCAAGTGGATAAAGGAAACTTGATGAGCGAGTCCTAACAGCACAGCCACACCACCATCCCAACCAATAAATCAATATGCACACGGCAAGTGAGAACACAGGAGGGGAAGGGATGGGGGTGGGGGTGAGGGGTGCCACCGCTGACTTACTGCGACTTTTCATCTCGACTTTCATGTCATTGCTGTGCTCATCGCCTGAAAGAGGGTCCTGGAAATGCACGAACAGCATAAGCACACGTCCTAACTACAATATCGAGAGTAAAACGCTCACACTCAACACCATTCTTGCACAAGAATAGTTCCACACCTGCCTTGCATCAACCACTGGGTTCTACTTGTGGAAAACACATGATATTTATGCCGGGGAGCATTGCACTAGCTGCCCTGCTACTGATGTTGTTTATGCATAAGAAATACATGTACATGGTACTAGCATGACCACACTGTGGAATATAATGTGTCATGGCTAACGGACAAGGACAATAGTATTTAAAATACACATTGAAAGTTAGTCATACAGCTAAAGGCAGCCCATGGCAAATTATGATGGCACGAGGAGGTTTTTACTCGGAAATCAGCTGTCTCAAAGAGCTCACCATATTGATGGTGGTATTTTACCACCCCTCTCTCACTCCCGATCTGTCTGTCTGTCTGTCTTGTCTGTCTGTCTCCCGTTGCCCCGGCAGTTCACAGATATGGTGCTGCAACTCTCATTGTGCACAGAGTATACATGTGGTGAGTGTGTTAGAGAATCAATCCGAGGAATCAATCCGAGGAATCAATCCGAGGAATCAATCCGAGGAATCAATCCGAGGAATCAATCCGAGGACTCTGTGATTGCAGGCGACGACTCACCCTTCCCGATAGCAGCAGCACTTTGTGTTGTAACCTACACATACGCTTGCGCCACGTCTCATAGCTGTGCAAAAACACGCCAGACACAGCTGGTGAGTACTCAAGCAACTAGCAGTGTTCTCCGCGGTCACAGGAGTGCCACGCTTCAAATTCTCCAAATACCGTAATGTCGCGTATAAAAGCAGGTGCTTACGGCCGTGTAAGCCGGGGTTCAAACCATGCTTCTACACAAACATCACCAGTGTACTACACTGTGCAGTGCGTACTGCCACGCATGTACTGTGCAAGTATGTGCACGTGTCTTTGCACAGAGCGGCTTCTATTCAAATCGTGCTTCTTCGTCACGGCGTGCTTCGAAAAATCGGCTTCTATTCGGGTCATACTTCTATACAGATCATGCTTTTATACGCGACACTACGGTATGCCAGAAACTCACCCTGCAGGTAGAATTCATTTTAGTACAAGCGAAATGGAACGCAAAATAGCATCTCCATGGATGGTGGGACGAGGCTTTGACGCCATAAAATACAATCCCAGTTTCAACAGCTGGGACATGACTAAACACAATCGACAGCATGTTTATAATCTTGTTACATGAACTTGTGTTAGCTGTTGACCAGATATCTCAAACGGTATAGATCAACACATGTGACTGTGACATGATTCTTACCAGCTCTAACAGTCTAGCTCTCTCACCTTGCTTCAGATAGAACTGTCATCCAGCTGTCAAGAACATCTTCCGTTTCCGCCGCTAGATTATAACTGCGGCTGTCATCGGCACCAAACTCTATCGCATTATCCAAAGACGTGCAGGGCAATCATCAATACAACACATCATGGCTAGCTATCATGACAAAACAACGCTTAGAGGGCCAGTTGCCAAGTTCTCCAATAAAATGATCCAAATCCAGGTTAATAAAATGATCCAAATCCAGGTTAATAAAATAATCCAAATCCAGGTTACTCAGACTAGTGAATGAGTTCTTGGCATGCTTACCTATTCGAAATGCAAACTGATGATTATTTACACTCTTCTGGCGCTCCACGCTGCATCCTTCCAGCACAATAATACCTTGCGGTTCACCAGTCTGTCAAATATGTTAGCACACATCAGTGTACATACACACATGCACACGCACACACACACGCGCGCGCGCGCGCGCATGCACACGGTCCAATAACCAATTGAGTCATCTTTCCAAGAGTTGTTCTGAGCCTCTCTCCCCTCCCTCACGGGGAGGTCCACATGACCAGTTTCTGGCAGCGAGCAATTACAAGAACAAGTGTGCGTGTGTGTGTGTGTGTGTGTGTGTGTGTGTGTGTGTGTTATCTTTGTGCGTTCAAACTAGTGGTGTGCACGGGTAGTTGGGTACCCGTGCTACCCGTGAGGACCTCGGGTAGATGGGTACCGAATAGTACCCGAAAACCCGAAGTCGCAGATGACATCATGTACAGTGCACGTGTACCTAATAATTCACGCATGTTTACGCAGTGCGCAAGGGAAGAGGCCGGTGTGCATTGTGGTCTTACCATGGAAACATTACCCGATCGGGTACCCGTGCTACCCGTGGAAAACTACCCGAACCCGATACCCGAAGAAAATGCTACCCGACTCAGCCCTAGTTCAAACATTACATAAGTAAACACCGAAAGCCTGAACGACATTGCACATCACGCCAGTCACAACTGGCAATAGGAGTTAAAGATGATGAATCCGTGGGTGTAAAACTCGTCAGGCAACAATGATGATATAGACATTGACGCTGTATTCAAGCTGCTCGCCATTGCACATACAGATACCGGACTGCACCTACCGGTGTTTTGTCCCTGGCCCTGTCGTCTTCCTTGAAGTAGAACAGCAGATTGCCACACAGACGGAAGTATCTGCTCTTGTAGCCTGGTGCACAAACACAGCACAAACACAGCAGGATAATATTATACCGAATTCAAAATACCAGGAACGTGTGAAACAATAGACCTTATTTGACACACGTCACAGTGTCACGGTACCACCCTCACGGCGGCACCTACCGAAAAGTGCAGGAGTGGCAAGGAATGCACCTAGTCCTGTTTGTTCACTTCTGTTTTGTTAGTTTGGTTTTCGGTGAGAGAGGACGGAGAGCTCTGTTGTAGGTAGTTGCGATAGTACTAGTAGTAGTACGTCGTAGTGGCATGGTGAAGAGTTGTAGTGAGGCTGGTTGTGCCAATCGTTTTGTGAAGTGAGGTGGAGAGAGTTTTAAAACAAATTCCCAACAAATGAGTTGAGAACAGCAAAATGGATTGCTGCGTTGAAACGAAAGAATTGGCAACAGAATTCCTCCAGTTTTGTATGCTCTGACCATTTTATCCGCTTCCAGAAGAGTGACCATCCTCTGTCGGCTGATTTCGTCCCGTCTGTGTTTGGTGATGAGAGTCGGAAGAATGGAGGAAGGAGTAAGACAAAATTTGATTTCCACCAGGCTCGATTGCGTACAAGTACTCCTCAGTCCGATCAGAGTGAACCACAGCCACCGGTAGAAATGATAGATACCGGTATGCCAGATGAGCCAGCATCAACGCCATCATGCACAGCTGAGCCTGAAGGCAGCTGCCACGCCGACGGTGAGAATTACTTGACTCCAGAAACTTGTAGTTTTAGTTACGTTACTGAGAACGAAATGTAAGAAGAGGATGAAGAGAAACGATAGCTCTCTCAACTTCAGGCCAGAGAGGCACCGCTAGAGGACGACAATGGCAAGCTGAACATGCAATTGCAAGAAGCCCAGTCAGCTGTTTCTGAGCTGACCTGCCAAGTCAATCACCTGGAAAGTGCCATGAAGAATCACAGATCTGAAGTTGCAATGTCTGCCCTCATGTCTGGATTTAAAATCAACGGTGAAATGGTCAAGCAATACACAGGCCGGGAGAAAGTGTTCACATTTGCTGGAAAGGGCATACCCGAACACCACCAAGCTGCACTTCCGGCCTTTGGCCAGTTCATCATTGTCCTGATGAAACTACGGCTGAATTTACACGACCAGGATCTAGCACATCGTTTCAACATCAGTCAGTCGACCGTGTCCAAGTATTTCAGCAAGTGGATTCACGTCATATATGGTAGATTGCAGCCACTGATCATCTGGCCGGAACGTTCTGAACTCTACCGAACAATACCTTCGGAGTTTCGCGGGCAGTTTTGAAAGTGCATCTGCATTATCGACTGCTTCGAGGTGTTCAGCGAGAGACCACATGACGAGGTAGTGATACAGATCTGTATACTCCACGCGGGGAAAATTACTTGTCGCATCCGGTGTAAGAGACTTGATTGTCACATAAGGGTTTTGGACGTCCGCACCAATGAAGACGAGCTTCTCGTCATATCGTGTTTTGGCTGCGCGATCCAATTCACGATCGCATCAGACAACTCACGGACAGCCATAACTGCACAAACATTGAAAAATTTAAAAAACCTCCTATCTACCCTACGCTAACCTAACTACATGTATATGAAACCTGGGTGAAAGCACTTCAAGGACAACAAGGAAGAAGACGAATGTCGACATCAAAGACAAACTCAATGACATGAACGAAGGCTTCCTTGCAGTGCAGTTCTCGTCTTGCCACTCGTCAGGTGCAAGCGTGCATGTTCTCGGTGCAAATCCCCGGAGGCGCTCCCCATAAGCATGTGATCGAATAATGTCTATTCTAGGTAAAGAAATGTGGCCTCTGTTTTTGTGAAGTGCAAGGAACTCCTAAACATTGGGAATAACCTTCCGTAAGCGCTCTAGAGCGCCATATTACAACGTACTAAGCTGGTCGTCAATTTTGGCTGGGGCTCAGAGTTGAAGGTTGGATGCTGCCTACTGACACAGTCAAACCTGTCTTCTGTGTATGCCCTGCACCGTGCATGATAAGCTTCCATACACTTTGCTAGCGGCCACACCCTACTACGTACCCGCATCAGCTGCATGTCATCATGGAAATGTTGGGATCTACACATCCCATTTGAAGCCCTTGAAGCATCGGATTAGTTTCGGATCCACCACTCTGCATGCTGGGCAATGTAACACTGTCCGGATTACAGGAAAACCTGGCCGAAAATCTATTTCCTTTGTATTGGACTGTCCCTACCCTAAATATTTACATGAAAAATTGAAAAAGTTACAACCCCCGCTTTTGTGACTGGCATATTAATTGGTCTGATCTCATCATGTTCCTACGAAAGGGGCTGGGGATAAATTTGTAGAACACATAGTGTTCTGGGCGCCAATGTGAATGGGTTTGGTCTGATGAAGCTGCACAGCAGTGGTGGTTTTCCATTTAAAAGTTCATTCATACCTCGGTTATCCGGACCTCGAAGTTACAGGCACTTTGGTCTGCTGGGTACCCTTTGGTGAATTTCCGTGAAAATATTACTACTCTTTTGTCACTTTTTGTTGAAAGAGTGACGTCATCTGCCATACCTATGGCATTTCCCCATCAAAATGTACGTGATTCGGGGGATTCGGAGTTAGGGACAGTTTAAAGCAGCACAGTTGCGGGCAGTGCTCGGTCCCGGACCGCGGCCTGGATAAACGAGGTCCGAGTGTACACTGGGTGGTTCCCTGTTGCCCACTTCGACAGCATCATCTGGAATTCAGTGACATAGCAATGGGTTCTATTGGGAACATGTTATGAACGCGGCACAGCACCCGCCCCAGATCAAGACCAGAAGACTGCAGGTCCTCATGTTTTCATTTTATTTCAAAGTTCCCCCATAAAAGCGCTATGGGGGGGGGGGGGGTAGCTAAGGAGGGATAGGGAGGCAATGAATAGGTAGAGACTGAGGTGACAGGAAGGGTGAGTGGGACGCATGGACGGTTCCGCATCAAAACTAAACACAATTTCATTCACTCGGATACTGAGCCAGTAAGAAATATAAAATAGAAGAAAAACACATTAGAGCTACATGTAGGTCTCAGGTCGTTGAATGTCTCAGTAGCCAGTCAATTTTTTGCCCTTTTATCGCACTTTCTGACTGACTTTCTGATTTCTGATGTGTTTTTCTTCTATTTTACAAACAAAACTAATGTCATGTGAACTGTGTTTGTGAATGGATTGTATTGGGCTATTGATCATTATAATTGCATCAGTTTATCATAACTACATGTAGTGCTGGTGTGCCCTATTGAACAGTGAAGCACGCAATGGACATGTACGTACCTTGGCCTGGCTTGGGCCCCTTTTTCAGCAGAATTCCTTCCTTGGTAGCGTACAACGTGGCTGCCACCTGCGAAATTTCCTTCTCATTACAGCGCAAACCAGATTTGCGCATCATCGTTGCCGCCCTCTCTCCGGTGCAACTCGCTCAACGAAAACTCCGAAGCACCACTTCACCAGACTGAATCTGCAACATCCCACCTATCCATCGCTCACTGACACTGGTCTGGCGTATTACTGTTACTCATCTGATATGTAGTGCACTGGGCCGACGTGATGCTTCGAGTCGATCACAGTGGCACGCACTTAGCGCCAATAGCGGACTGATGATGGAGGTAAACAGTACGTAACTGTTACGCATGAATACTAACAAAATACGAGCGCTATCGAGCCGATGATTTGAGCGGCCAGTCAGTGCCAATCACCTCCCATCGCGACAGCTCGCAGCGATTTGTACCGGGTTCATACGGTCACCGCGCACACAAACACGTCAGAAATACTCCACGACTCGCGCAGGAACTCCAGATATATGAAGCACTTCGCTCGGTCACGGACCCACGGTTACCGGACAAGAACTCGCCACCATTACCAGAAGCAACGGCACAGCATGCAGAAGTCGAGCAAAGCCCAAAACAGAACCTTCACAAAAACAAAATAATTATGCAAAATGGGCTTCTGCCAAACGGTTTCCGAATACGCCACGGCCACACGACTTGCAAATACGGAGTATCGCCTAGCCTTCTTCTACGAGTATGACTCGAACTAAGGGTGCTGCATCATACATGAATAGCATGCACGGACCGGTGAGCAGGTGAGTTAAAAAAGTAGATCTACGAATGAACGCCGCTCGCGCGCTAGCGCTACAAAGCCTTGCATGCTAGGGTGGCACATGCAAAATAAAAGCCGCACAGTAGATCTACAGGCGGCAGTCACACTTCACGGAGTGGTGAGTTCCTGACCAACAATTTACGTACACGCGCAACAGAATGTTGGGGTCAGTTTCGCCTGGCTGTACTGTAGGCGGTCCTCGTTTCGCATGCCGTTCCCTACAAAAGTACAATGTTCCCTACTTGTTCGGCTGTTGACTGTTCATGTTGTGCTGCGCCGAGGGATGTCAAGGGCCTAGGGGTCAACCGAAACTTTGCCGAAAATGCTTTTGGGAAATTCTCGTAAACCTTGCCGAAAATGCTCCCAAACCTTGCCGAAAATGCTCGGAAAATGCTCACTTTTTTTGTAATCCTTAGCACACGCTGTCAAAACCAGGGAGTCAGAAAATACTCAATAAGAGACTTGCTCGAGTCTGCCATGGTAAACAATTCATAAACTACTCAACAAGAAGCTAACCCACGGAATGCGGAAGTGACGTTCTTGTTTGGGAAGTTTTTCTTCTCTCAATTTTGATACACAACGGCCAAGTGCTCCGTTTCCCCCAAAATGCTGCATCACGAGCCCAAAGTGCTGGGTTCGCGGATTGTACCGAAAATGCTCAAAAAAATGCCGGCATATTACATTGTATTACACGGGGGCCTAGTCAACAATGGTCAAGTACTTGAAGTAGGCTAAAACAGTAAAAGTAAAACTACAAAGGTGTGTGAGGGTAACCATGGTAACATGTGCCTGGTTTAGGTCCTACTTGTGTAACCATGGTAACTAATGCTTGACCGTAGTCTAAATCAGTAAAAATTTTACTGATTTAGATAATGTGAAGCTGGATGGAACTCACTCTTCTCAATATTTATAATTATTATACCTACCTTACAATATACATGTACATGTACACCCCCATTCATAACACAGATCCCCGGCCAGTGTATATTATTCATTGTATTTGCTCAAGAATACAGGCAAGAATAAGACAGGCAGGCATAGTGGGATGGTCTAAATGATTGAGAAACAGAGGGTACCAGGTTCAAGTCCTGCTTGGAAGCGGAAGGATTTTTTCCAGCCGTGCTGCGACCCACAGGGAACTCGTGGCCTGGCACGAGGAAAACATGGATGCAGTGAATGGGATTTTCGGTCTTTGACCACTTGCTGGTGAGCTGATCTACTCACCTCCCACCGCTTTAGGAGCTGCATCTGCGCCTTGATCCTTGAAGGGTGGTGGCGTTCCTACGGATGCGGAAAACCCGGCTTCCAGCCGAGTCTCACGCGAACCGTGAATTTTTTTTTTTTTTTGCTCAAGAATGAAATGAATACTGTTAATGTACATGTATACTCCTATTTAGGATTCAAAGAAGAGGGACTTAGAAATTTTCTCTCCACTTCAAAAAGAAAATTGAAAGAAAGAAGACAAAGGAAGAGAACAAGCGGGATTCGAACCCACAACAGTATGCATCTCAAGCAACCCCTTATAGTTACATGTATACCACCCAGCCACTGTGCTGCAGATGTTCTTACAATCTTGTACCCAAAATAGGCAACATCCTATGTACACTATAGTACAAATGCTATACTAAAAAGGTTAGTATAGCATTGTGTGAGGAATGGGGTGTATATTGAGGTAGGTATAAGTCGGATATACCCTCCGCTGGAGTGTATATGGAAAATATACACCATCATCCAAACCTCGGGGTGCGGCCTCGGTTTGTATTTGGTGTATATTTTCCATACACTCCAGCTCAGGGTATATCCTATACTTACACATTGTCATTTTTATTTTACTTCGCAAGGAACTTCCTAAGCTGATTGTGTTTGTCTTCTCCATAATTATTGTCGCACTACATTATTTTGACGCTTGTTAGGCTTCTTCACACGTGCACCTTTTTGTAATACTTTCCATGTGTATGTGTATGTGTATGTGTATGGTCACGCATTTTTGTTTGTTGCCTTTCAGCCATTCTTCTTTGCGTATAGATTATTGTGTGCGTTCCCAAAAAAACCCCAAAGGGAATTCTGCCGGTGTACCTAACTTCATGTCGAAATCCATTTTAACAATCCGCATATCTCTCCTCCCCCCTTTCTCTCTCTCTGTCTCTGACACACACACACACACACTCTCTCTCTCTCTCTCTCTCCCTATTATTATTATTATTATTTTGTTTTACATCGGAAGCTCAACAGTGCAGCTGCACAAATATGAAGAGGCCGATGGGACCAAAAAAATAAATAAATAAATATACAATGTATATACATCAGTGTAAATGTTCATACATCAATGTAAATGTTCAAATGTTTAGAAAAAAAGGGGGATGAGTGGTGAACATAAAGAGAAAAGAAAAACGTATGCTGCATGAACCTGGGCAATATAATACATGTAGCTGGTGAGAGACTAAATCTATCTATCTATCTCTCTCTCTGTTGTTGTTATTGTTGTTGTTGTTGTTGTTGTTGTTGTCGTTGTCGTTGTCGTTGTCGTTGTCGTTGTCGTCGTCGTCGTCGTCGTCGTCGTCGTCGTCGTCGTCGTCGTCGTCGTCGTCGTCGTCGTTGTCGTTGTTGTTGTTATTGTTGTTGCTGCTGCTGCTGCTGCTGTCGTTGTTGCTGCTGCTGCTG